GGGAGAACTCAAAGATGACCGGGTGAGCCAGTGATGGGGAAAATTACTGAAAAGACAAGCAGGTTGGGAGACGGTGCAAACAGTTTGGGACACTCAGAGTTTTAGGTGGAATTGATCAGTAAGAAGTTGGCTATTTCATATGAATGAATGAATGAATAAACAAGCAAACGAAGCATGATGAACACACAGCTGTGAAGCTGGGCAGTGGTCAGTCACACAGACATCCTTGCCCTATATTTGAACAAGGCAAACTGGCCTAGGTCAGTCAGAAGCACTCATGCGGTGCTCACGGCACACCCTACCAAACCCTGTCACACACATTCCATGAAGAGGTATTGGCTCATGTGGCAGAGATGGCACAGTCCCAGCAACGGCAGGCCAAGAGGGGATGGCCTATCTGCCTCAGGTGGCCACTGGCCCACCCTCTCACTTTGCTCCCTTCGTCCAGGGTCCAGGAAAGGTTTTTCTTGCCATACAAAATCCAACACTTTCCATATCTGAGATTTTATTATGGTTCCAATCAGAAACCAACCAACCAAAAAAAAAAAAAAAAAATGCCTGTAGCTGAACCTACATATTCTGAGGGGAAGCACCACAAATGGAATTAAGTCAAGATTTTTCTCTCTCTTTAATCATTCTATTTAAAATCTGACCAGCCTTTGGAAGGCCAGTGCCAAGTCTTCTTCCTGTTATGGGATGCTATAACTAACACTTAATGGTTGACATTCCCTCCTTATTTCTGACTACTCTGTAACCATCCCTGGCAGGTGTCTTCAAATAAACACAGATTCCAGATCTGGGTGATGGAAGCAACAGGACTTCCTACAATCATCACTCCTGTTTTAGAACACAGAGTTGCACACTGTGGTGGACTGAACTGTGTCCTCCCCCAACCCCGTGCCAGATTCATATGTTGAAACCCTAACCCCCAAGTGACTATATTTGGAGACAGGACATTTAAGGAGGTAATTAGGGTTAAAAGAGGTTATAGGGTGGAGCCCTGATCCAATAGGACCAATGTCCTTATAAGAAACAGAATATTAAATATGATGGCACATGCGAAGAGTACTTTACAAACTATAAATGAACACACATGCATTAGTATCTATTATTCTTTTTCATTATGCCATTTTAATCTTCATTAACAACTGGCCGGCAAAAGCATCTCGTTTCCCAAAAGAAGAAATTGCAATAGCTAAATTCTGACTGTAATTGAAGCTTCTTTTCTTAGAAACATTACAAATATTAATACAAATAGTAGAAAGAGGTGGGGTAACACTAAATAACTAACTTACCAGGCCAGGATGCCAAATGCTCTGCCCAGAATTTCCAGTTCAGGTTGACATGAATAGACTAATCTACTGAAAAGTAAAACACTCAGCCAGCCCACCAGGTGGTATGCAGTTGAGTTTGGTTTTGGTTTAGTTTTTTTGTTGTTTTTGTTTTTAAGTTTAGCTTCAGGACTACAAATGATTCATTTGACAGAGAATTTACCAAACAGAGAGGCCACCCAACCAAATTCTCCCATTGCCTGGACATTCTGAGGACAAAGTCTTCCACAGTGTACAAAGGTTCTGAGCAGAGGCACAAGGATTCTGGAGGTCTCTTGTCACTAACATCTCAGTGGGAGCCTAGAGCCCCCATAACAACAGGCTCATTACTCAATATTCACATATACAGTAAAGATTAGTTGCACATTTGCTGTGTATACCATATTATACTAAGTGGCAACACCTTTCTGTCCCAAGGAGTTTAGAATCTATTAAACACAATACGAACACAAAGAAACCACAGGGAAGAATGCCACGAATGGCAAATTGGGAACACAAAGAAAGTGCTGTGGAGGTTCAAAGGCAAAGTCATCCCCTCCAGTTGGGAAGGAGTTGGTAAGACTGTGGGGAAAAAAAGGAAAAGGAGATGACCTTGGGATGGGTGAGAACTGTCACTGAGGAGGCTGAGCAAAGGAGCCCAGAGGGCACAAGGGGGCTGGGCAGGGACACTGCCAGCTCTATCAAGGAACTTTTTCATCTCCACGGCGTTAAGGACTGAGATTCTTGAGGTAGGAACTTAAGTGCCAGCACATGCTTGCACGCGCAACGCGTGGAGGTATAACTTGCCAATGTCAATTTACCTTCAGAAATAAACATACCTTGGGATATGTTCAAAGCAAAATGCAGGAAAAGAGAAAAAAAAAAGTCTAATTTTTCAATTGTGCTAATAAAATGGCCTAAAGAAATAAACTATTTTTACTTTAGCTGCATCCTTGTGATAACCCATTAAAAGGCTGTCTTGACCTCCTTCTGAGTTGCCTTAACTCTGGCACTTAACACACATGGTATCTTTTTTTTTTTTTTTAGCTTAGACCCTTTGAAAATGTGCTGTGAAGTGTTTCCATCACTCATTTTAAGAAAGAGAAAGCATTTGGAAGTGCTATTTGCAATGCCTCTGGATGGGAAAACTAATTTCCTAAGCCTCTGCAGTGAGCTGGGGGGAGTTTCCAGTTCATTTGTGAAAAAAGTTAGCTTACTTGTTTTCCCAAACATCACTCACCACCCTCCCCTGCAGTTCCAGCAAGCAATCTTGAGCTCTTCAGTCATTAAGCCTCATTTTTAATGTCAGAGAACCATTTCCACAAGCCCTGTCTCCCCCAGTGCACACTGCAAGCCAGCACGAGCAGTTAGCAAAATTTGTGTCTCGTAGAGCAACATGGCCTGATCTAGCCAGGGCACATTTAGCTAATGCAAGTGATCAAGTAAAGGACTCCAGATCATTCTGCGCAATCAGGGAGTCTTAGGGTACTTTAAAAGGTTATCCAGTCCGTGCACATGCAAGGAAGATTTCCGGTGTATTTAATATGGATGATAGTGCATTTCTCAAATACAATACTGTGTACAGAAGATCTGCTGTTTGTCAGAAAAGCTCAATAACCCCCAATGTAAATGGCAGAGGTTAGGAATACGGCAGGGTCAAACAGAGCAGGGATGAAGAAGATTTAAGCACGCAGCGTGCAATAAAGCAAAACCCAAAGCCTGAAAAGTGAGCACAGCTACTTGAAATGCGCCTTAAACAAGCCTCTCTGGCTTAAAAAAGGGTCAGTTTCTCCACAAGTGGGCAGAGGGGGTTATGGAGTAGTCAACTCTCCAGATGGCAATTTGCCACTCAATTTCATCCTGTGTTTCCTGATCAATCCCCCTGAGTGTTTCTGCAGCAGCTAAGCTCAGAGGCCAGGCGGGGCCTCCAGACAGGAAGTGAGCCTGGCACCTCCACAACTTCCCACTGCTGAAGTTCTCAATTTCAGCCTCAAGTAGCTGCCAGAAGACCACTGGGATCCGGCCACCTTCTTCAATCAAAACCACACCTAACCATCCTCTAGGAGAGAAATACTGAGGGAGGATTTCCCCTCCGCTCCCTTCTTCACAAACTGGTAACCCGCTTCTCAGGAAATTCCTGTTCCAAACATCGAAACACCTACATCTTGAGCCCAGTCTCCGGCCTAAGTACGTTTCTTCTTTGCCCATATGTCCAGTGACTGCCATTCTCTTTATATAAACCCTGTACTTGCTTGAATCCTATTATTAATTCACCCGTTCATCCACGGTTGCTTGGAAAGTGAATTAAGAGAGAGTGTTCAGAAGTTCAGTTTAGATCTGTGTCGGTAAGTTAAAGCGCCCAGGTTAATTTCATTTTCAGTCACTTTTAAGACTTGAAAACCATTGTTAACAACTATATGAAAAACAGTGGCATGAAACACACCCCGAAGTACTTTCATTCCTACACAAGATCTCTTCTGAGAAGCGGGGACTGGGCAGGGACCAGGTAGGGACTCCCCTACCTGTGGGTCCCGAGCAAGCCACGCCCACTGGCCTCTTGGTTCAGTTTCTTTTAGGGTCAACGGAAGGAGTGGGCCTGTGCGATGTTTCAGGCCCCGCCAGCCCAGACTGGGGCCTGCTCATCCCATTATGCAGACGCAAACTTGGCAGAATCAGCCTCAAACCTGTTGGCAAAATAAACAAAGCCAAATAAGGGGGAAACTGCCAACCTGAATTCTCTGAAGTGGCCGAGGCCCACTTCGCACACGTTTCTGCTTTGTCCCTGCAGCTGTTACGAGGCCAGTTTAAGTCAGGTGCCTGGTGCCCATTAGCCAATGCCCCTAGCACCCTGGCGCAGACCTTCAAAGCGATCCTTATTGTCTATAAATTAAAGCGCTTTGCAAATTAAACCCCTCTACACAATGCCAAGCTAACTGCGCCGATAATGCAGTTACCGGTAATGCCTTAAAAGTCACACATCAAATTTTTCCACAACCACTTGGTGGTTAAATCGCCCTGAATAAACCGAGAGGGCAGAGCGATTGTGAGAAACTTTGGTTCAGGTGGCTGTGAGAGAGTCCTGTAAATCTGGGGCAGGGCGCAGAGCCTGAAGCCCGGCACAAAAGCGCCCTTCGCCGAGGCGAGGACCTCCTTTATGTGATGTGACAGCAGCTTTGTGCGGGATCATAAATAGTTCTAATAAACACAGCAAGTTCTCCGGCCGATCACGGCCTCCCGAGTCCCTGCGCTGGGGCCCTGCGACCCGCGGCTATTCTTCCCCGGCACACGCGCCCAGGCGACCCCGGACACCGCACGGTCCCACGCCGGCTCTGGGCTCAGTGCTCGCCGCCGGCCCGCAGGGCGGGCGCAGCCTGTGCACCCGGGGGTCTCCCGTGCTCGGGCCCCGCCGCCCTGACCCCTGCCCTGGTCCCCGCCCCCACGCCGGCCCCCGAGTGTGGGGGTGCCGGGAAGGCGAGCAGGAAGGTGCGGAGTCGGGAGGTGCTGGGCAGTCCGCGGCCAGGGGCGCCCAGGCCGCGGTGGGGCCGAGGGCACCGGTGGGGCGCGGAGGAGACCCGCTCCCCCAGCCCTTTCCTGGGCGCGCCCCGGCCCGCGAACCCCGCCGCGCTCCCAACTCCGCCGAACGTCCCCAAGTTTGCGGCCCCCGCCCTGCGCCCGCCCGGCCGCGCTTACCTAGCCGTGGGCCGCCCGCCGAGGCCGGAGGGCAGCGGCGCGGGTCCCGGGGCGGCGGCCGCGCTGCGCCCGCCCAGGCGCCGCTCTTTGTCTGCGCCGCTCCCTCCTCCCGCCGCCGGGCGGACGCTGCCGGCCCGGGCGCCGCGAGCCTCCCCGCCGCCGAGCCCTCCCCGCCGCCCGCCGCCCGCTCGGCCGCGCGGCTCCGGCCTGACGATCCCCGCGGCGGCGGCGGCGGCGGCGGCGGCGGCGACCCTCCCACGGCGCGCAGCGCCCGCCTCCTCCGCGCTCTTCCTCCTCCTCCCGCGCTCCTCCCCGGCCGCGCCGTGACGCCGCCCAGGGGCCGGGCCAGGCCGGCGCGCGCGGGGCGGGGGCCAGAGACCCACCTGGGGGCGCACCCGGCCGCCCAGCTCCGCGGCCCGGCTCCAGCATGCGCGCCACGGTCGCGCGGGGCTGCGGGGTGCTCCGCCTGGGGGCCGCAGCGCTGGCCTCGCGCCGGGGGGATGCCGGGGTAAGGACGGGGTCCCCACGCCTGAAACTGCTCGCGCGGGCGGTGGGTGGCCGGGTGGGTGGGGACGAGAGTGAAATACAGGCAGCAACTTCAAGCCTCAGATGACTGCCGGGTGGTCTTTGCATCTTCTTTTTCGCTTGTTTGATTTTCTTATCACGACGCTCGAGTTGTTTGGCGTCCGCCCCCCTTCCCGGAAGCATTCCCACGGCACTCTCGGCAAAGCAGGCCTGTTGTCCATCAGAAAAGTGACTTACATAAAAATGTCACTTCCTCCCTGTAATTGCTTGTGGGCAGTGTTATTTATTTGCCTTGCATCTATTTACTTTCCCAACCAGACACGTTTCTGCCCCTTCATCCCCTTGGAGGCACTTCCTAAGGGAGGAGAGGAAACCCGACCTCTGCTTCCTCCCGGGCCAGCTCCAGCCTCTCAGATTCTGGTCGCACACCCTGGGGGCAGAACCCGATGAGGAGCTGCCTGAACGTGGGCCCCAGAAGGAGTTGTCGCTAATGGTGGGACCGTTCAGCTCACCCAGCCTGGAGTAGTGGCTAACATATAAATAAACTTGAAAGATGAAAACCCAAGAGGAAGCGGAAAGACACAAATTTCCCTTTCACAGGCACGTGCCTCCAGATGTCTTCTCTCCCATCTCCTTCCCATATGGTTTCCCAAAAGAAATTCTAATATTCAAATGATTCTGATTTCCTGGTGGGATAGCCTGCATCCATGTTAATGAGATTTTCCTAGGCTCCTGGCCTCTCCTTATTAACAAGGCAATAATAATTTATTCGAGGTTATGAGGCACTATTATTCGATTCACTCATCCTCTGCCTCCGTCACAAAAGGAAGTACCCAAGGATGGTAAATACAGTCAGTATAGCTTTGAAGTCAGACGGTTGAGTGTTTGTCCGCTTCCTGAACTGTGTAACCTTGCACAGGTGTTTCTTAACCTTTCTAAAATCTATCAAATGGGCAGATAACATTTACCTACCTCCTATGTGAAGTACCTGGCACGCTCCCTGGCAGTAGACAGCCCTCACTAGCTCAGTACGTGGAAGGGGAGGTAGTACACTGAGCAGGGAACAGGTGCAGCTCAGGGGATCCGGACAGCCCCCTTCATCTCTGATTTGACCTTGGGAAAGAAGCTCCCTCAGTTCATCCTTTTCTGAAAACCTCGTCTTACTAATATCTAGCTTTACAATAAGGAAAGAAGAATTCTAACAAATAGTATGCCCAAGTTTAAATTAGTTTACGCAAAATAGGTATAACAATATTGACACAGTTTTTAACTTGTTTGCTTTGTAAACTTTCATTGAATCATGATTCTTGGACTCCTCTTCCTTCTCTGATTTTTTGAGAAGTCACCAATGACATCCTCTATTTAAACACAATGGCCCTTTCTCAATCCTTATTCTATGCGGTTTTCCGAAGCATGTGGCATTTCTGCTATTTCCTGAAACTTCATCATCTTTTCATTTATCTAACACAACCAGTTCTGATTATTTTGCCTTTTTGACCTGCCCATCTCTGTCTCTTCATAGGGGTGTGTTGTCCTCCCAACCTCTAACAGTAATATTTCCAAAGCAGAAAGTGGTTGTGTGTGTGTGTGTGTGTGTGCGTGCGTGTTTTAGAGAGAGAGAGTTGCTCATTTTTTGCATGCTCCCAGGCTGAACTTTCACTGATTAACTTCCAGATGGATAGCCTCAGAGAGCTCCGCAGCCTGTCTGCTCTCCCTACTCATCATCTCTTCTAGGTCACCAGTCTCGGAATGCAGCTCATCTCCTTCCCAAACCAGCCCCTCTTGCTAATGGTCTCAGGCTTGGCCAAGAGGCCACCAAGTATCTCAGCTCCCAGAATAAATTTCATTGCCATCTTGACTTCTTCCTTCCCTCTCTTCAAGCTCCCTCCAGGGGAAGTGAGGAGAGGGCACTAGATGACACCACGACCCCTTGTAACCTACCCCCATGATTCTGAGTCTTGGTGATTCTTAACTCTTTGACCTCACCATTCTTCCCATTTCCAATGCTAGCATCCTAACTTATACGCCATGCCTAGCAATGCTTACAACTCTATTGAATTCTTGACATAAATCATCTCTAATCCACACACAATAGTGTTGTCCCCATTTTACAAATGAAAAAATGTGAACAGAGAGTGAAAGGGCTGGAGTCAGAACTGCCCACAACTGACTCCAAAACTGTTCTTTTCCTTGTGTTCACTGCCTTCCAACTGGTGTCCCGTTAGTTACTCACTTCTTCCCATCCCCCAGATTTGTGCTGGATATCGATGTCATCCCAATGTAAAGGCAAATGAAAATCTCAGGACCAACCCTCAACTCCTCATGCAAAAGAGAAGGTCAAGCCTGGAGGCTGAGTCATGCAACACCCCCTCCCAAATGAGTAGTTGTTACTAACATTGTGCATCAGCCAGAATCCCCTTGGAAAGGTAAAAGGCCTCAGGCATGTACAAGGACTGCCCCCACAGATCATTCGTTAGGAAATTCCCTGCTGGCCTCCCATAAACGAGGACATGCAAATTGTAACTTTAGGTCTAAAGGCTAAGTCTCGCTCCTGTTAGATTCCACACTAGCAATGTTGATTACAAGTTTATCTTCCCAGGTGCAGAACAGAGACAAGACAAGAGCAATCATTCTTCCACCTGCCCAGGGACATCTACATGATCAATCCCTTTTTCACTCCCCTTTTCTCTTCAAACATTCACCTTATCTTACATAAAATGTAGATTTCCTGGCCCTCACAAGAATGTAAGTATTTGCCTTGCTGCCTGCTCCTCTCCTCCTATTTCTTTTTGTGTGCCTTCTCCCCCTTAAATACTGAAGTTCCCAAATCCCTGGTCTGAAAAACAGTCACAGATACATCAGTGGCTTGTGTTTTTCCTGGGCATGTCCTCGGACTTTGGCTTAATAAACCTCCATTGATTGAGATCTTTGCCTCAGTCACTTATGTTGGGTTGTCACCAAGCTTCCTACAAATTTCTTCTATCTTGTCCCTCCTTTGCTCAAGAACCTTCTATGGCTCCCCATTGCCCACCACAGTCTCTTAAAACATCCTGAGCATTTGCCCCTAGGGAGGCTGGGGAATTTAGCCCTAAGAGGCCTGGGTTAGTTTCCTGGGCTGCCTTAACAAACTACTTCAAACTAGATGACTTAAAACAGAGTTTATTCTCTTAAGGTTCTGGAGGCCAGAAGTCTGCAATCTCTCCGAAGTCTCTAGGGGAGGATCCTTCCCTGCCTCTTCCAGCCTCTGGTGACTCCAGGCACTCTTTGGCTGTGGCAGCATCACTCCCATCTCTGCCTCTGTCTTCACATGGCCTGGTCCCCTATATCCTCTCCCTTTTCTCTTATATAGACAATTATCATTAGAGTTAGGGCCCACCCTAATCCAGGGTGACGTCATCTGAACATCCTTAACTTACAACATCTGCAAAGACTTTTTTTCCAAATAAGGTCACCTTCCCAGGTTCCAGGTGAACATATCTTTGGGGACATCATTCAAGCCACGACAAGGCCCAACATGGGGAAGACATTTCTTTAATCTTGTGTTTTATCTAAAAATGTATATATGTTTCTGCATTCTACTCCACTGGTGTGTCTGTGTCTGTTTTTCTATTTAAATGTCTTCAAACACAAAGTATTGAAAGAGCAAAAAGTATAAAGCTTTTGCCTAAAATCACATCAACATCACACCCTGCCATTTATCTTCCAAAGGCCTCTTGAGCTTAGTCCTGCCATAGCCATCTCCTTCTTAACTCTGTGCAACATAAGCTATTTGGTTCGGTCACTCTGCTCTGCCCACAGTGCCCCACTAAGTCATGCTAACTTCCACCTTTCGTGGTGCAGAGGCATCTAGGAATTCCCTGTCCCCCTTCTCCTCATTTAGAGCTCCATTCAAGACCTCCACTAACCCCTCCTTGGACTCATGGAAAACACAGGCAAAGTCAAGGGTGCTGGCCAAGGCAGACTTCCCATGAGCCTGTGACTTGGGGCCATTTCACCTTTCTGGGCCTCAGATAGTGATAGTATTCTTGCAAAGAGTTGTGAGGATTAAATGAGATAACGCAAATATGTCTCAACTGTGTGTTGGGCACATGGTAAACACTCATGTCAGCTTTTCCGTGACCTTCTATAGTGACCCTCCATTTGATTAAATGTATCTAGTACATTTCTATTTGTAAGGCATTATAAGATCTAATTCAGGATTCATTCATGGGGTGCATAGACCAAAGAACACCTGGAGATGGGAAGAGCAGATATAATAAGTTTGTGCTACTCAGAGAGTTAATAACTCAAACGGGAGTGGAGTGAATGGATGGGAAAATGGTTTAGGAGAAATAGAGAGGAAAGACTCAAAAGGATGGGTAAAACCAGTGCACAATTAACTAGAATATAGAGCTAAGTATGAAAAGTACCAAACAAAATAGGTTCTGAGAGTCGGGAGAGGCTTGAGGCTTTATGAAAGGCGGTGGCGTTAGCAATGGGCCTGGAGAGGTGACACTGCAAGAGGCTGCCATGATTTGGCTGCCCCACACCCAGCCCCTTCCTGGTTTTAGGGAGGCCCCTGTGAACCCCAGAGGGAAGCAGATG